GATGTGGGATTAGAAACCATCGCAAAAGTGCCAAGCGCTTTTAGGGGTAACGGATTGTTGAGCAGAACAATGGTATGTAGAATACGGTAGAACTGGTCACATATATCAGGTGGAATTTTAGCAATGCAAGCAGACAAAACCGTTTCATACAACTTGTCAAGTTCAGCATAAGGACCCACATCAGCTCTTTCAAAGCCATCTTTCAAGAGGGTGTCCAGTTGATACATTGGATGCTGAACATCATCGTCACCTATGAATTTGATAGCAGTAGCAGCCCAGATGAAGAGGCGGCCAGCTCTCCCTGCAAGGGCCGAAATCATAACAGTTGTTGGCCATGGTTCCTGAACAGCATCTCTGAACCGTTCGCAAATGGACTTGAGTTCATGCCGAAGATATGACTCGATGTCCTGCAAAGCGATGTCCTTATCGACTTCATGAATCACAATCTTGTCCACATTCACCGCTCGGTTCAGATTCGCAATGAGGTGGGGTTCTGGCCTGCTTGTCATGAGTATGCGGAGACCGGGGATGTCAGTGCAGCCGGGAACAAGGCAGCCAAGTAATTCTTTCACTCCATCCACATCATCTCGCTTACACTCATCCAGGGCATCAATTACAAGGACAAGAGGCTCAGAAAGACTGAGGCCTCGAAGGGGTGCAAAGAGGAGTGAGGAGCATTGGGTGAAAAGTGAAGCATAGGGAAGATTCTCATCCTTCTTCAATGCCTCCGCGACAGCCACACCGAATGCAGGAAGTTTCTTGGCAATGTTTCGCACAATTGTTCCAAGGAAGAACTTCGCATGAGATAATTCGGCATGCTGACGGACAAAGAAGAAGCTAGAACCGAGAAGGCCGTGCTCCTCGGTGTACTCCGCAATGGTGCGCGCGATAGTCGACTTGCCGATCCCCGCTAGGCCATTAATCCAGAATACTGGTTTCCCTGTATCGCTGATCGGTCGGTTCAGCCACTGCTTGATATGACCAAGAATTTTGGCCCGTGTCCCAGGGAAACAGTTAGATGGGGCACCAGGGCGGTTGGTGTCATAGCCAGCGCCGAGAACATGGGGAAGTTTGTTGAGATAGGACTCAAGCTGCTTTGCCTCCTCCAAATTTTCGTCGCGCTTCTGTACTCGGAAACAGTCAGAAAGGATGATTTCCATGGCCACAAACGGAAATTACCTTGAGGTGGTCAGGAAGTCGCTAACGGATTGGTCAGCCTAAGAGCTTGAGGAATCTGATGCAAACTGCGCCGTACCTCAATCTGTGTAAGGATAGTTTCCATTCTTAAATTGCCTTGGACTGCTTGCGAAGCCTACGTCCACGGAATTAGCTTTAAATGCATAATCATAATTTATGTATACTAGGAGAGTACCGACTTGAAAGGCGATCACAGCATTACGTATCTCCTCCCCAGCCAGACGAACAGCCCCTTCGATTTCGTCACGATTCACCCATAGAGACGCAGAGTTCTGGTCGAGAAACAACTGCAATGGTGCAATAGCTGCATTAAGCCGGCTGAAAGAAACGGTCAAATTAGCCCGACTCCGATAGGCAACCAGAGATGTATACACACGTCGATAAAGTATCGATCGCCTCAGCTACCTCGGAAGGAATAGGATCCTTAGAGCCATAGCGTTTGAGAGGCTCGGATATTGAATCTTTAAAGAATTCAATGTTCTTCTGAAGCTGACGAATCGCATCGGTATTTGCTCCCACTTTCTATAAGAGTTTGAACATGACGTCCCCACTAGCGCTTATGGCAGAGCACACCTCTAATTGGTTAACTACTTCAAGGAAACCACCGATCGCGCCTTTGAGGCCGGGAACGGGAACACTGTCCAGACTCGCCTGCGCAATACGCAGTACGCTCTTAACACCGTTCCAAATGGTACCAACGCTTGTGGCGCCTTTAGTGTCACCCTTGGTATTTCCCTTGACATCGTCCTCGAGGTTTGCTTTGAGAGTTCGCTCATTGTCTCCCTTGGGGTTGACTCTGGTGTCGTCGCCAGGGTCGGCCGACGACGGCGGCAAGGGTGTGGAAGAAGGCACCCTCGAAGCTTGTTTCAAGTCAGTATTCCCCCTAATTATGCCCTTGACGTTTCCTTTGGTATATTCCTCCATATCTCCTCTGGTGTTGCCGGACGGCGATGGCAAGGGAGAAGGCACTGCCCTTGAAGCTTGACCACTTTGCGATGAAGTGTCTTTCTTCGGGAATACCTCCCTGAATTTCCCCTTGACTTTCCCCTTGATTTCTTTAGCGCGCTTCATGTTGGATATGTTGTGATGAAGATCGAGCAAGATTCCAGAGTTCAACACGGTGTCAGTGACTTTGGGCAGTATGAGCACACAGCCCTGAACCCGACTGATTAGGAAAGTCCTTACGCAATAAGCGCCCGTTCTTGCAGTGGGTGTGTGCCCAAGCACAGATACTCGATACGATCCGACGAGCAATGGACAGACCGCGGACGAACCGTTCATCACCTGCGAAGCTCTGGGGACTGCAGGCCCGTAGTGGCCCCGTATTGATCAACTGACTTCACGCAGAAGGACGGTTTTCTAGTTGGTTTATTAATAATATGTCTATCGCTTTCGCTGCACAGGAAGACAACATGCGATTTGCCTTCCTTTTTGTTTTATATTTTTATTTTCTCTGCGAATCGGTCAGCGTGCGAAGCGGGAACTAGCGCGCTTGTCAAGTTCCCAACGTAAAGGGCATTCCTTGTCAGTCGATACCTACACACTTAATCCAACCATCGTTCAATCTCTGTGCATCGGTCTAACTTCAACCCACATCCATCTCCGCCAGACGCCTCGGATCAACCTAAATTTGGATTGAAATGGAACCCATTGGTGAATGAATGAAGGCATCGCGCCCTTGTGATTCATCAACCATTTCCTACGCAGCCTTATCCGCGTCATCTACTCCAACCAAAGCCCATTGACGCGATCCTCGGAGAATAGAGAACAGGTTCTTCTTTATCACGCTCGAATCGTTGTATGAATGTCTGTCTCTGTTCTCCAATCCATATCCAATTGCCCAAGTCCTCCCTTCCCCAACCCACACACCCCACCCGCACCTACAAAGAACAGCTTTCCCCACGCCCGTCAAAATAACCCTCGCCTTCGTACCTAACAAGTTGCCTATAATCCACTTCTTGCCTATCTTCAGCGTTGATCCCAGCACACACGTACACACGCACCCACGTCCCCAGGCCCGTCGATCCTCCTCAACACACTCACTTTAACCCTCACTTTCCCTCCCGAAATGGGTCACGTTCGGAACGACCCTAGTGTCCCGCCTATAAAAAGGTGGGAAGGTAGAGGCTCGAGATTGTGAGTACTGGAGGAAGACCATGGTTGTGAATGCGTCGAGCGCTGACGTTCATCGCTGATTTCTTGAGGGTGAGTTTTTCGTCAACTTTGAGCTCGCGTTTTGGCGTTCCGATGTCCCATCATGAGTCATGGGTCGACTATTCACATTTTATCATTACCTCTGTATAGTCCACGTTTTTTTTAACATTTCCAAATTCGGCGACTGACGCTGGTCCCTTTGATATGACAATTGCCATATTTCTCCGACGATCGATCGCCAGATGCGAAACCACGATCGGGTTGGGAGGGAGTAAAGAGATAAGGTCCTTGGGCTCTCTGATCGTTAGGTGAGCAAACAAAGAAATTGCTAATCTCACGTCTTGTTTTTAAGAACTCATCTTTCTGGGATTCATACTGAATGTTGCACTCTAAAGCCATGATGCCGAGTAGATCTTCTCGCGCAACTGTGGAACTTGTACCTCCACAAAACTATCGAAGCGCGAGATATATCCTACTTTCCCAACCGATTAATATACAAACGATGGTCGGGACGCTACGAGCGGCATTTATGACAGAGGTCCTATGGTTCACCTGGGTGGGAGGACTGAAGGCAAGAGGGCTATTTTGCCGGATAGGAAAGATGTGGCGATGGAGGTTCGGTTTGTGATGTATGGGGTTGATAAAGACGGGCCATACGAGGGTGGCTTTAATTGTCTTCCTCTCTCCTTTGATGACAAGTTATTTTTCAGACAAAGAATGGCGGCCGTCGGGCCGGATGCTAGCTCAGATATCATAATTTCAGCTGCTCATGAAATCATCATGTCCACGGATAATGTTTGGGAAGTGGTAGCTCAACAGGGTAGGACGTGGATCGCGCCGGAAGTGTTCAATGAGCATACCTTTGGGTCAACGAGTGTCATGCCTTGAGGAGCTCGGTTGCGTGTCCTCCTTTCCGCCTGAATGAGCGTAGTTTGGTCGTTGTCATATCAGATGGCCAAACTTTGTAATATGGGATTCAGGATGCGCAAGTACCAGCCTCTATTTCTGTCTGTCTGTCAGCCCCCGGGTTGGCAAGCACCAGCGCTGCTCATGGTCCGTCGTTACTCAACAATTTGCGGAGAATTGCGGGGCACATAACAATTGGCTGGAAGAGCCTCGGTTAAATGGACGCCAAGGCACTTAGTCCAAATTTGGACCCGGCCCACAAGAACCTAATTCAGTTTGGCTTTCGGCCCTGCGGCGCCCAAGCCACCGAGTTCGGATGGAGTTGGATACTCTTAGTCTAGTGAAATTGGATATATGACTACCACAAGTGGCTTTTCTGGTCTTGCTTTCACCTGCATCTCGATCCTCGCTTTGTCAGAGAAGGGAAAACTGGGACCACACAGCAAGCTTGAGGCCAGCTTACGTTTCGCGCTTGCCAGCGAGCTCAACAAGTCACACCACTCCGGCTCTGGCAATGGTGACTACCAAGGCACCAATAAGAATCCTTCTCGTGGTGTTGTCCTTGTGTTGTTTAGCGTTTTCACTATCGCCCATCAGTCATCCTTCCTTGTATGCGAGTACGCGGTGGCCGTTCCTCGCATCTTCTCATTGGAGGCGCGACGCTGCACGCCCGGACCCCAGGTTCAACTAGCTCAAGGTCTCGTCACAGGCGTTAGCGTGCCCCAATTCCACCAGGATTATTTCCTGGGAATTCCCTATGCTCAGCCTCCATTGGGCGAGCTGAGGTTTTCTCAGCCTCAATCACCGAAAGTGAATCCGAGTCACAGAATAGACGCCACTGCTTACGGAAAAGCGTGTTTGCAACCGGTTAGCCTTTTTTTTCCCCCAGAGTCTTGTGAATGATTTCGTTCTTTAGCTTTTCGGGGGTCTAACGGGCTTGACAACCTTTGACTTGTCGGAAGATTGTCTTTTCATCAATATCGTCCGGCCTTCAAACCTGCCCCACCGTACGAAACTTCCAGTGATGGTTTGGATTCATGGAGGGGCTTTTTACTTTGGTGCTTCACAACTGTTTAACGGCTCGGCGATCGTCGCCCAAAGCGTTCTCTTGGTAGTTACTTCCTTCCAGCATCTCAGCCCCCCCCCATCTTCTGACATTGAACATTGTTGTGACAATATCTCGAACATTCAGAACGAACCTGTCATCTACGTCTCCCTCAATTATCGTCTAAACGCCTTTGGCTTCCTTGGCGCACCTGAACTGGCAAGCGACTCTACGACCGGAACGCTCAATGCTGGTTTACACGATATGATCGGTGCATTGAAATGGGTACAGGAAAACATTGGTGCTTTCGGAGGAAACAAGAACCGAGTGATAGGCAATGAATTCCGATCGATTCGCTTTTACCATAATCTGAATTTAGTCTGTCAAGTGTTTGGTGAGTCGGCGGGTGCGATTGCGATTGGGACTCTCCTCGTTGCTGGAGGAGGACATTATGTGAAACATCACAACTTATTCCATGGTGCCATCATGGAGAGCGGGGCTCCAGCAGGGTAAATTTGTAATCATCCATACCTTTGCTTCCTTTCTCCCCGATTTCCAAGTCCCTTGTCTGATTATCATTCCATTTCCATCGCTAGTCTCCCTGTTCCCAATGTATCCGATCTCGTACCCTGGACAAATATCTTCACTACTGCAACAGGCTGTCTTCCCTCCGATCCCTCGATCATATCATGCCTTCGTTCGAAACCGTCCGAGGTACTTTACCAAGCTTCGCTCGTAACGTTAAGCGCGACAACGGGCCTCGCACTCGTTTATAATCGAGTTGTGGACGGATTCTTTTTCCAGGAAGGGAAACGTGCGGCGGAAGAGGTAAGAAAGGGGAATGTAGCGGATGTGCCTATCATTACGGGGTGCAATTTCGACGAAGGAACGTTATTCGTACCTCACACGTTCAACACTGCGGACGAAATAGTGAATTTTTTCCGAGGTTCGTGCATGTGTGTTCCTTGACCATTTCTCGAGAAAAAACCCAAATTGCAACGTCTCATCCTCCATAGTCTGCATATGGCTTACTTACACATTCATTTCCGGCTTTTTGGTTTTGTGCTTGTTCCATTGCGGGGCTGCAGTAGGATTGTTATACGTTGGAAACCTTAGCGTAGCGACGCCAGAACAAACGAAGCTCTTCAAAGGCCTTCTGGAGTTGTACCCCGATATTCCTGCGATCGGAAGTCCCTACGAGCCTGTCGGGGCGAGCAAAGACGATCGGTTCTTTGGGTCGAATAATCAGTACAAAAGAGCTGCGAGTTTGCTCGGGGATATTGTCTTTCACAGTGGTGCGTACCTATCTATTCCGAGTCGATCGAATTTGGGGGTAGAATACATCCAATGGCGTTCATTTTTTCTTATCTAATGCGGGGGAATTATATCATTCAGGTCGACGCGCATTGTTGGATGCGTATATTAAACACTTTGGTTTCTACCCGGCGTGGACATACCTTTATACCCAAGTGACTCCAGACACACCAGCGTACCAAGGTGTCTATCACGGAAGTGAGCTTCCGGCTGGTGAGTTTGCGGATCAATCCCCCCCCTCTTACCCTTCATCGCTGCCATAGCAGGTTTCTGATTATTTTCATGCCCTCCCCCCCCTTTTCACTTTTCACTTTGCGTCACTATCGCGCGGGCGGGCTATAAAACAGTATTTGGACTGTATGCTATACAAAATACAACTTCGGATCTGGGCAAAACTTCGTTAGTTATGATCAGCGCCTGGGTCACCTTTGCGAATTCTCTCGATCCTAACCGCCCATTCTGTAATGCACGCCCCTCGCCAAATTTGTATCTGCCCTACATAGTTACAATGTTACAATATCATTCGGACAACTACGGCTAAGGACATAACTAAGCAGTTGACCGATCCACAAAATAACAAACAAAGCACGCCAGGAATCCAGATCAACTAGAACACACCAACCAGGGGATGAGAAATGATTTAAAGGATCTTTGGACATGACCCCAAATACGACCAACCAGTTGTATGAAAGCAATATGCCATATGCAGAGTTGCGGAGTACACACGTGGCCAGCCCCACGAACCCAATTCAGTCTTTGCGAGCCACCCAATTAAGCTGTTGTTGGACATTACTATATAAGGATCTTATCCTGATGACAAGCCTTCTAATAGAGGCTGATGACCTGCCCCACCACTCGGAATACCGCAGTCCCTTCAACAGATATCTATTCACCAATAGATTTCGCCGCCGGTTCCGCGTCCGTATCGGAATTTGACTAATCACACCATGCTGGGTCGCAGTCCGCAATGACTTCCTTGTCCCCTTTTGCTTAGTCGGGGAGAGCTGCGGTCGCAGCACCAGCGAAAGCGCAAACGCTTAATATGCGCCACCCTTAACACAGAGCGCTATCCACTGATACGGAGTGACCTCCTCTACTGGCGACATCACATCAGGACTAGCTACGGTGACTACCAAGACAGCAATGAGAAACGCTCTCCTCGTGATTTCCTCACTGTGCTATTCTGTTTTTTCACTACCACTCGTCAGTCATCTCTCCTTGTACGCTGGTGCGCGTCACTGACTGTGCGATGTCCCATCTCGACCGGACCTCAGGTTCAACTAGCTCAAGGCCTTGTCACAGGTCTTAGTGCGCCCCAATTCGATCAGGATTATTTTCTATGCTCAGCCTCCATGGGCAAATTGAGGTTTGCAAAGCCCCGACCACTGAAACCGAATCCGAGTCACAAGGTGGACGCCACCAAGTACGGAAAAGCATGTTTTCAACCGCTTGATGTGCGTCCCTTGTTCGCGTAGCGATTTTCCTTCCACCTTTTGCGAATGATTCGTTCTTAGTTCGCCCCGGGCTTGACAGTCTCCGATTTGTCAGAAGATTGCCTTTCTATCAATGTCTTCCGACCCTCGAACTTGCCCCATGGTGCAAAACTCCCTGTGATGGTTTGGATCTATGGAGGGAGTTTTCTTTACGGTGCGTCGCAACTATATAACGGCTCGGCGATCGTTGGGCAAAGCGTGGTGCTGGTACGAGTACTTCCTTCCGGCATCTCAGCCCCATTTTCTGACATAAGGGTGATGCTGTTGTGACAATATTCAGAACGAATCTATCATCTACGTCTCCTTCAATTATCGTCTAAATGCCTTTGGTTTCCTTGGAGCCCCTGAACTGGCACATGATTCTGCCATCGGAACGCTCAATGCTGGCTTATACGATATGATCAGTGCACTGAAATGGGTGCAAGAGAATATCGAAGCTTTTGGAGGAAACAAGGATCGAGTGACTGGTAAGTTCCTTCTTGATCGATTTGCCAATGACCAATGTGAATTTTGAAATTTTCGACCTGTCACAAGTATTTGGTGAATCGGCAGGCGCGATCGGGATTGGGTCTCTCCTTGTTGCTGGAGGCGGACAATTTGTGAAACAGCACAATCTATTTCATGGTGCCATCATGGAGAGCGGAGCTCCAGCAAGGTAAATTGTGTTACACCCGTCGGTTCCTATACTCCCCTAGTCCTTAGTCTGATCATCGTATTCCCCAGTCTCGCCATTCCCACTGTATCCGATCTCTTACCCTCGACAGATATCTTTGCCGCAGTAGCAGGCTGTCCCCCAGGCTCCAATTCCTCGATCATATCATGCCTTCGTTCGAAACCTTCTGAATCACTTTACCAAGCATCACTCGTGACATTAAATGCGAGCGACGCGCTCCCTTTCAACCGAGTTGTGGATGGGTTCTTTTTCCAGAAGGGGGAACGTGCGGCAGAAGAGGTGAGAAGGGGTAACGTGGCAACTGTGCCTATCATCACGGGATGCAATCTCGACGAAGGAACGTTCTTCGTACCCCACACATTCAATACTACAGAAGAAGTTGGGGATTTTCTCATAGGTTTGTTTTCCTTGACCTTCGTAGGGAGAAGTGCCGCGTCATCTTTATATGCAGAAAAATTACCACTGCTGTTAAATATTTTTGTCTTGTGGGTACAGGATCGACTTACGTTGGAAATCTCAGCGTAGCAACGCCAGAGCAAAGAAAGCTTTTCAAGATCCTTCTGGAGTTGTACCCTGATGTCCCTGCGATTGGAAGCCCCTATGATCCGGTCGGGGTGAGTAAGGACGACCGGTTCTTTGGGCCGAATAATCAATTCAAGAGAGCTGCGAGTTTACTTGGGGATTTTATCTTCCATGGTGGTGCGTATCATCTATCGTCGAGGGGGGGGCTCTTTGATGGAGACGGTGAATATGTAGCTTAATCGATGGATGCTGATTTTTTTTTTGTCCATTGTGGGAAACATCATCAGGAAACTCGGAGGGACCTCCTGGAGCCGAGATATCCCACGGAGCTTGGGGAGCCCAAAAGGTCCTTACCCCCTCTCAAAGAACCAGGAGGCATGCTCTCTTGGGCCTCTTGAGCTCTGCGGCTCCTCTCCTTCTAACGGTGCAGCGCTGGCTCTCAGACTCCAGGATTCTCAGTGTTCTTGACTCTCGCGAACTCATGTAATTAAAGGAAGAAAAATCGATTTTTATATAACTGGCAGCTACTCAGACTTGCTCCATGGACTAGTGTTGCCGCATGGTTGTTCTTCCATGTCTATAATAGATCCATCCCTCTCCTCATACATATGATCCCTTTTGAGTTCTTGCCTATAGAGGTTGATGGAATATGAGTCAGTAGTTAGGTTAGTGAGTGTTGGCAACGTATGCTACAGACCAAAACATGGCACAGCAAATACGCTTCCATCGTCTTGTCTTTTTTGATGAAAACTCGGCAATGTTGAATAGATGATGTTCATGTATTTCTGCAAAGTGTTCGGCAGAAAATTCAACCTTGGGATTAATAACACTCTCAAGTGCACAGTGAATCTAAACAAAGTGCATATTAGCAAACTGGTGTTATGAGTAAATGGATGAAGTACCACTGATAGGGCAAGGGCAATAAGCTCGTGATGTTCATCGAGGTTCTTGAAATCATCAAGACAAGTCTCCCCCAACCGACGAGAAATAAACTGCTGTTTGAAGGTGAAGAACACCTTCAGCACAGTCAAAATGATTGGGTTTTCAAATGGACCATCTTTCTGTATGTAAAAAGTCAGTTAGCCATATTGACATTGGTGCAAAATCATACTAAGCGGTGATTTCGCCAGATGTACCTGGACTTCTCCATTAGGTCTGTGACACTTTTGATGCGCTCTGAGTCATCCATCGCTGAAAAGTTATAGTATTCATTAACAGCTTGAACAGCAGCATTCCGGAATCTATTTCGGAAGTTGGACACAATTTTCATAAGCTGTATGAGGGGTTGAGACAGAGGATATTTACGACTTTATATACAACTAATTCAACATACCGTAGTAATCATCAGGGGCTCAACCATGAACTGGTCACTTCGCAGGTTCAGATTTTGGGCAGATCTTGCCAGAGCTTCTTGTGCAAAGCGTTGGTGAATTGACGCATCTTCACTACATGCTTGTCATATCCATCCCCGGCCATCGACTTCCGGTCCCTCCGATCCCTCCGGTCTAACTCCGCTCCTTCCTCACTAACCTCGGAGCTCCCGTATTCCGCAATCCTCTTGGTACCCCTCGATGGTCACCACCCCCTCATTTCAATTTATTACCTACGCCTCCCTAATGTCATATCCGTGCATACCCGACCCCGACCCGACTTCCGGACCTCCACCCTCTTCACCTCCGGAGTCATAACCTACCGCTGCCGTTCCGATACTCACCCTCGGTCCTGGCAACACACCTCCTCCTTACCTCTCCGACCCTATCTCCGTCCGCTCCGATACTCATCTCGGACCGAACACCGCCCCTCTCGCCACCCTCCTACTACTCCGCTCCCCCTTCACAACACCTCCACCCTCCCGTCATCCCCCTACACTTCCCCTGTCCGTTCCGATACTCACCTTCGGACCTGACTACTCTCCTTTCTGCCACTCCTTCTCCCTTACCTTTCCCCTCTCTCCTCCCTCTATTACTCCTCCGCCACCCTTCTGCCAAGTTACGACCTTCCACCGCTGTTCCGTACTTCGCACTCGGACACCGCTTGTACCTTACTCCGAGCCTCTGTCTTAGTCCCTACCTTGGACTTTGACTCCACCTCGGTCTTAGTCCATTGCATTGGTGACCTCATACTACGTAAACACCATTGCCAATATCCCTCGGACTTTCAACCCCGCCTCTGTAACCTCCATAAGCTCCGCAACCCCCGAGCTTCACGGACTGCCTTCGGCACTCTCGCCGCCTGTAATGTATTTCTCGCGTTTTCCCTTCACCCCTATTTGGACTACTGCTTCTTCCTATTCTAGCCAGTTAGTCATCATCCCCACTTCCCCTCATCCTCCTGCCCCTCTGGGCCTCGCCCTCCCCACCTCCTTTCGGATGTATCACAGGTCCTGCCTTATGACCTTCGGTACCGCTCCGCTTCTTCTACCCTTTGTTCCCGTTCGGACGTCTTCGTTCCGATTCGGTTACCCTTTGTTTTCCTTGTGCTTTTGCCCCTTCCATTATATATATCGGCGCTTGTACATACTCGTTTTGGTTTAGTCTGAAATCGACCTGAAATGCCCCCTAGAGACTTCCTGCTCACCTACTGTGAAATTAAGGACCAAATGGACAAACAGCAATGGCACAGCACTCCGCTTGAGTCGCTGAGGCCAAGGTCCCTCCACGCTAAGTCTCCGATTCCACTCCGGAGTCGTCTGTTCCCGCCCGGTTCTAACACCTAAGTACGGAGCCCTGAAGACTTCCGGACGGCTCCGATGTCTGCTAGCGCACTCCCGCCTCCGCTGGGCAATACACTCGCCTGCCCTGCAGAGCCCACCTTCGGGCCTATCCCTCCTTTCCGTTCTGGGTTATCGCCTGCCTTTCTGCTAACCCCGCGACCCGACTCGTCGGTAATATTCAGTCAGCTAATGTTTAACCCCGTTAGCTCCGCTCCATTCGGCTCCGCCAATTGCGAACCCGTCTTCGCTGTAACCATATATATATCCAACTTGTACATAGGTTACACTCCAGTAATAAAATCAACTAGAGTTACCCCCCTTCGGTTCTGATTGCCAGTCAGTAAGTTAGGGCACGGACGTGTCACTAGGCACAGCGCTCTTGGCATAAGTCGCTGAGGCCAAAGCCCTCCACTACGGAGACTCTCCCTTGTCTCGAATCTGGTCTCTGACAGTGCTCCATTCAGGCTATTCTCCCCAAGAGACCAGGGATTTGATGCAACAAGCTGAAGGAAAACTGGGCGTGAATAATTGAGGACGGAAAAAACTTGAGGGTTATCATGCTGGCACCAGAATTCAAGTGTGGCATCTCTTGCACTTGGCTCACCATTGGCCTTCTGCTTTGCCTTCTTGGAGCTTGCCTTGGGTGCAAGATTAACAGCACCATGAAGCATGACAGATGCTGTGCTGGAGGCCACAGGAGATGAGCTACGCGTCCTTGATGACGGATTTGGTGTTTGAGTTTGGGGAGGCATGGGGCTTGATGAGAAATCATACTATTAGTGAGACGATAATAAGTATCAAGAAGCAAGTGAACCTGCAAGAGTGGCTAGCCTGTTTTGAAGCATCATCATCTAAGCCAGGTGACTGTCGCGATATTGGATGGGGAGAGGATAAGGGCTGAGAGGAACGTGTTCCCTTCAGCGGAACAAGACCCAAGGAGGGCCCTCTGCTAAGACTAGCTTCATCCCAAGAAGTGGGGAGATGACAGACCCAACTGGTGTGGTGGCTGGTCCATCCACTGGAGATCCGGGTTTTGTTGAGCTTGAGTGCCTTACGTTTCACCTCCATCTGTTCGGCTAAGGCTGTAATTTCAGCCTGCAACTTGTTTGCTTCTAAAGCCGCTTGAGTGCAACCAAACTAAGTAGGAAAGTAACCAGCAACACTTACCATCATCATTTGGTTCAGTCATTTCTCCACTATTATTCAACTCACTGCCATTGGAGAAATGCAAGACTGAGGAGTGAGAGCCCTTCTCAACATTTCTCCTACCAGCATTGTCATTACTGTCACTGCCATTGTCACTGCTGTCATTCTCGTATTCAGGTTGGTCAGCTGTGGTGTAGGTCATGTTGACAGACTTCATCTTGTCCCTCGTTGGGTTTGTAACTGATGCCGGAACTGGCAAGATTTCATGTGTTAAAAATTTTTCATGGTGAGTGGCAACGAACAAGGCCCACCTTTCTTGCTTTTCTGGCTGCCTTGAGAAAGGCGTTGCTTTTTGGAGAGTTCAACTTCAGCCAGATGGGTGGCAATAGCCACTGTTGGGTGATGAGCATGCTTTCCAAGAACAGGAGGAACCGACTCTGCTGAGGATGTGTGAGTAGGTGTGTTACAATTGGGATTGCGGTGTCGTGAGAGCATTGTCAAGCAGGAGGGGTGTTGAACTAGTAGTGGAAGAGTAGAAGATGGTGGAAGGGAAAAAATGGGGTGTGGCAAAGTGAAAAAAAAATGGGGGCATTACTGAATCTGCCTCACCACTGAAATTAGTATCTGCTTATCCCCGAAAAAAAAAAGTGCTCATCTGGCCTTTGCCTCCCAGGCCTGACATCTGAGCCAACTGCCACACCTTCCGGACTGCTCCATACCTTAGACTCGGTTCCACAGGTCCCACAAGGGGCAAGTGATGCCATGCTCCAGCTCTGACACCACCCAATCAAAATCGGAGTGGGTGTGTGAATTTTGTGGTAACAGTTGAGCTTTCCGGTCACATAAAGCACTTCAAGCTCACATTTCAGCCTCTCTGGAGTGCCTAAAACAAATACTGAATAGATTGACTTACAATCACATAGCCCCTACTCCTTCCTCCCGAGATACCCCGCTGGCCACTTCACAAACACCCTCATCCAGCTTCCAACCATCATTTGACTCTCACAAACAGAATGAGGTCAGCCCCACTGTATACCTTGCTAGCAATCTTGACAATCGCACCGACAACAATTTCCTAAACGATGTTGATGAAAGACAAGATGATGGGCAAGACTCCCATGCCAGTGACGATTCCCGCAATACTCACAGTGAGATGTCAGACTCATCCAACCTAGACATGAGTTCAGACGCTGAGCTGGAACACCAGCTGCAATTCCATGGGCTTAGTGCATGGCAAGGCACAGCATTGTCATTCAGTGTGTTCCGGAGATGTGAAGGGCCAAGGGCAGTGCCAGCGAGAGCAGAGCAGAGAGCAATGTCAGTATGGTCTATTTGGGAGCAGACAGGGGACACCGAAAAACCAGCCCATGGAAATCAAAAGCAGAATGGGACTTAGTTCAATGGCTCTGCAAGTGCGAGCTGTCTCAAGCTGAAATAAACAAATTTCTCCGGTTGGAATTTGTGAGTTCACCAATTATCAAGGAAGGCAATTGAGAAACTAACATTGAAATCCCAGATTCACCACCTTGATCTGTCCTTCTCCTCAGCAAGGGAGATGTACACGATAATCCGAGTGTCGCTACCTCAGGGGCCACCTTTCCAGCATGCATTGGTTGTGCTAAAGGATGCCCCAGATGAGCAGCATGAGCTCTATTTCCGCGACATCATTGCATGCTCAGCATTTCTGTTCAGTAATCCTGACTATAAGGAGGTTATTGATTATGAGCCAGAGGAGATTTTTGTGACTGACAGAAATGGGACACCCACAAGAAATTGAGTCTATGCTGACCTAAGCTCTGGTAGGATCTGGAATGAGGAGCAGGTTAGTAGGTAGATCAAGTATAATCTGGAAAAGATTCCTCATCTCGTAACAGTTCAAACTCTCTGAGCAGGGGCTCAGCGATTCCACAATCCTTGTGATAATGCTTGGCTCTGACAAGACTCACCTAACCAACTTCTCTGGCAACAAGAAGATGCATCCTGTGTACCTTTCTCTGGGAAATATTCAGAAATCAGTCCGGAACAAATCTAACAAGCGTGCATGGATTCTCTTGGCCAATCTCCCAATTAGCAAATTTGCGGCAACACATTTCGACAATAGCCACTTAGCTGACGAGATGAAGGGAATGCCTGGTCTCCTTCAGAAGATATTGTATCATGAATGTCTTCGCATTGTCCTGAAGCCACTTCATGAGCATTATCGGACAGGCTGCATAATCAGACCAGTGCCCCTGCTTGATGCACATGGAATGACCCGCACTTGCATCCTAATTCTAATGGCTTGGATTGTGGATCTTGAAGAAGTCCTTGATCTCCTTGGTCTTTGTTGAAACAGCTGTCCAAAGTGCACTGCTCAGTACAAAGACCTTGGTGGAAACCGGACATGCAAATGTCGAACTGGGGATTCAATCATATGTGCCCTCCGAGAGCTGCGAAAAAGGTTCCCTGAAGCGACAACGTGGCAATTTGCGAACAAGGCACGAGACATGGGACTGATAGGTGTCGAAAACCTTTGCTGGGAGGGTCTTCCAGTGGATATTTGCCATGTTGTCTGCCTTGACCTGCTGCATGGCCTTCACAAATACATAAGTGACCATCCAAAGACATGGATCGAAAATTCGATTGGAAAAGACTCACTTGATGCTCGATTCATTGCACAACCGTACCGGAAGGGACAATGTACATTTCACCAGGGGATATCAAAAATATCCCAGTGGTCAGGCCATGAAAATCGGGACCTTCAGCGCCATCTAGGCATCATCATCACAGGAGCATATGAGAAGGGGAAGGAAAGTGTAAATCCAAGAATTGTGAAAGTGACGTGTGCGCTGCTTGATTTCTCTTACAAAACCCAATTCCCTGCACATTCCGATGTTACTTTGGGGTCAATGATTCAAGATCTGAAAACATACTATTCCGCTTTGAAGGTTTTCCTGGACAACGGTGCTCATTGCAATATAAAGGGTGTACTAATTCCTCACTTCTGCATACCAAAACACCATAATCTTCACCATTTCGCTCAAGATATTCGTGATCATGGCACTATGGATAATGGATCGTCAGAAATCACAGAATCGTTGCATATCCCAACATGCAAAGTGACCTATCAATCAACAAATAAGAAGGCTCACACAATACAAATTCTCGATCAGCTTCAATGCGTGGATTCGCTCTTTATCCAAGCTTCCATTCTTGAAGCAATGGGATGCAGTGCTCCTGAGCAAGATGACTTCGACAGCACAGAAGATTGTTGTGATGGCCAAGTGGCGACATCCGGTGGCAGAGATGTCCCTTCAACCGGCAGCATGACCCCGAGGTCACTTGCTGGTCACATGCCTACTGTCTCTAAGCGGCCTCAGTCCATTGGGTTGCTGGTCTCCTCTGCTGCTATAAAATTCTCCTCACCGGATCTTATATCAGTGATGATATGGTACTTTGTTTATAATGGGAACTTGGGCCTTCGAAATCACCCAAATCGAGATTATTACTCCTCAGCTGCTTTACCACACCATCTCCAAAGCATCGATATTTGGCACGCATTCAAGATACAACTCCCCCAGCCCAATGCTTTCTATCCTCCTGCACAAACTCGGATCCAATGCACCCCCCCAACAGCACAGCAAGGTGGTATCTATTCAACTGTCCTCATCAACATGGATCAAGAATTGCTGGTCTCAGATATACGATGTAAGTACAATGCCAACGGGTTAATTTAGAGCTCATTTTCCGCTGACCCCGGCTCCATACTAGGTTACCGAGTTGGGGAAATCCGATTTGTGTTTGCCCTCTCCGAGTCTCAAGACCGCAATGGCTGTGAGGGTTTCAATTTAGGCCCTTTGTTCGCTTACGTCCACTGGTTCAGTCCGATCTCTAAACCCAGTGTAAGTAGCCGCTTGTCAGGGACTCGTCTGGGGTCGAGGGGGTCCAGGTGTAGCGTCCGGGACCGAGAGCCTGGCGGGGGGCAGATCGGGCATGTGTACTGACAGGCCCGATGTGGGACAGTGGTCCCTGGCCACTTAGACTGAAGTGGAAAGTTGAGAAGAAGGCTACTTCTTCGGTTCCCACTTCAGGTTCGTTTATATACATGCGGCTTGGATCACATGACGGGTGCCACGTCACCCTCGCACACAGCCGTAACCACCCGGGTGTCTCCGTGGGAGATCCCGAGGGTATCCAGTGCAGGCGCGCATGCTGGGCACAGCAGGAGGTCGCCCGAGGTGCCCGGGCCGGGTACATGGTGGGCGCGCTGCAGATGGGTCAATTGTACATTGATACAGAGAAAGTCGTCCATGTAGAATAAAGGGAGAATAAAGAAGAAGTAAGATAAGGAGAAACTGAGGAGGGGAGGATGAGGGGGAAGAAGGGGAAGGGGGAGGAGGTAAGGGAGGGTGGACCGGCGGGGTACCGGGTCAGGTTGGGCTGGGTGGAGCCGGGTCAGGCAGGTGTGCCCTGACACCGCTTCCACACGGTAAAAAAGGAGGTATATTGTGACATACCAGATGGTGGGATTGTTCCCCTCTCCAACATTGTGGTACCATGCCCTTTAGTGCCAGTTCTTCCTGGGCATCTCCAGAAAGGTAGCATATGCTCCGCGACCTGCATGGAGACAGAGTTGGAGTTCTATATTAATCCTTTTGTGAGTCACATTGATTATGAACTGTATGCGTAACTTCTTGATTCCATATGCAATAGCTATATACAATGGTAATGATGGAGAGCACCAGGAGACGCTGGAGCAGCTCATGAGAGTGCAGGGAGCACCAAGAGCGCAAGCGAATTCTTGGAGTCTCCGGAGTCAAACCGAGTTTCCTGATGATATATATACAGGTCAACGCACTTTGCTGGATTCGTATGTCAAGCATGATTATATTATCCAGCATGGACGTACCTTTATACCCAAGTGACTCCAGGAGTACCAGCATACTTGGGTGTCTTTCACGGAAGTGAGGTACCGTCCGGTGAGCCTCCCTCTCCAATGGTTCACTGCACAGCAGAACAAAAATCCTGATTTTCCGTGACTTGACATTGATTGTGCTTATTAGTATTTGGCCTGTATGGCTTTCAGAATAGGACCTTGGATCTTGGCAGAACTTCGTTATATATGGTCAGCGCTTGGATCGCTTTCGCAAATTCCTTTGATCCCAATCGCCCATACTGTAAGCAGCCCCGCATCTTCACTTTTTTTTTCTCCCACAAAGTTATGACTCATTTCTTTCTTTCTTTTTTTTTTGCTTGTGTCTGATGAAGTACCCAATTGACCTAGGTACAGAAGGCAACGCCGCATGTTACAAATTGGGAATGGGCACTTCGATGTCATCATGGATGATTTTTGAAAGAATGGAATAGAATTCTTACAGAGGAAGGATTTTATGGACGCGTTTAATTTCTAAAGGTGTACACACGTCTGTTCTCATGGTTCCCTGACTGGATACATTTGTTGAAGTCCTAAATTGTTCAACATCCAACTTGGATGTGGCCTAATCAATGTCAAGTCCCTTTTGGGGGCTTGACACTTCTGCACCTCCCTTGCATCTGTGTGGTTCATGGCTGCCAAAGATTTGCATGTGGCTAGCTCTGTGGTCTCAAACCTGAAAAAGGCGATGACTTCAATTCGGGCATCAACCTTCCACCGCTTGTTGAGTTTGTATCACTCCTTTGGTGACTAGAGCAAACACCCTGTCCCATGTTCAATCAGCTCCGGGGCTTAGGGAGCAAAGTGGGTGCCATGATTCCAGACGTTTCTATTGTCCGAGGTTTGAGAATAAATTCAGAGATGTGCCTCCATTGTCCTGTCTGCAGTGTAATTATCAGAAGCACTTGTAGAGATATGATCCTGCCTTGTCTGTGTCGTGCCAATGCCCATTATCTCCCAGTCAAACCCTGGTATCTTGTACCCGAGTTACATCTTGTCTGGGCCGGAGTTCATCACCAAACTTTACCCTGAAGAGGTACCTCGATCACAAAAGTTTAAGGTGACTGGCCGAGCTTGTGAGGCATTTGTTTACAGAGGGGGTTCATTTTTTTTTCCGTGGGAAAGCGCATTGTGAATTGCGCATCGTCACCCCATGAGAAATCATTGGACATCTGATCCAAATGCACATCTCAACCGTGCACTTGTGTGCAATGGTGCAACACTGGACAAAACATACAATACACACAAAAATACAGAAAAATTACAATTATTATTAAAGCTTTATATTTGTTAAATTAGTGTGAAATTTAGGTCTATGCAGTGATTAGCCTGATCAAGGCAAGGGAAAATGGCACTTCCGCGAGGATGTGGCTGTGCTGCAAACATGCGTGCTGCTTGCTGCTCTCTCTCTCTGCAACTCCTTGCACCCAAAAATACAAAAAAATCATAATTATTATTCAAGCTTCATGTCTGTTAAATTGGTGTGAAATTTAAGCTTTATGTAGTGATTGGCTTTATCAACACAAGAGGAGATGGCACTCCGTGAAAATGTGGCTGTGCTGAAAACACGCACACTTATGTACTCAAGGGGGGGTCATTCGGGAAATGCCAAACCCCATGTTAGTATGATAGTCTCTGGTTGGAGGGACTAAACCTATTTCACACATGTCAAAATTTTCAATTCAAATGTATTTGCAAATGTATATTATCATTGAAAATAAATTGAAAACCTCCACTATGCCAATAGTTAGCCTTGTTTCCTTGCTCGTTTGCTGTTGTGGGATTCTTGATGGGCACTGCATGTCCAGTTCAGGGGAATGTGGGACCCTGGACCCTGACATGACCTATGGAACTAATTTGTCTGT